TAATCTCATCACTCATCAGCCAAGCCATTTATTTTTCGGAACACCTAACAACAAATTTGTGGCGGATATGTGGCTCTGTACGGCGGTGGTGGATCAGCGGTGGTGGATCGGCGATGGTGGTTGCTGTGTGTGCGTGGGTGAGTGGTCATAGGTGCAGATCTGTTTTTAGGTGGTTGTGGTTGGTGGTTGTTGTGATGATTTTTGTGGTGTAGGTGGTGAGGTGGCGGTTTGACTGTGGAGGTGGCGACGGCTCCAATGGTGGTTTTTTGGTGTTTTGTTGGTGGGCGTTTGTGATACTGGCTGTCGCGACAAGGTGGTGGTGCTGTTGGTTCCAACGACTGTCGTCGGCGGTGAACTTCACAGGGTGGTCACAAAGGTTGGTGGTGGTTACGGGATGGTCACAGGGTGAACGTCACAGGGTGGTCACAGAACGTCACAGGATGGTCACAGAGGTCGGTGTAGTGCCTCGACGGTGGGTGGTTTTGACAGTGTTTTTGTGTATCGGTAGCGGCGATGGCACTTGTGGTTGTGATGATTTTTCTTGGCAGTGTATTGGGTGGCAGCTTTGTTTGGTGGGTTGATAATGGTGGTGGCAGTTGACGGTGGTGCAGGTGGAGGATCTTGTGATTTTGGTTTTGTGACTAAAAATATAATCTGTGACCTTAAAATTCGGTAATCTGTAACTAAAAATATAATCTGTGACCAACTTTTTTTAATCTGTGACCTAAAAATTATATAATCTGTGACCGTAAAAAATCTGTGACCAATTAATTTGGAAATCTGTGACTATGTGACCTATAAATTTTGATCTGTGACCAACTAATTTTGAAATCTGTGACCAACGAATTAATTGTGACCTACAAAAATTTTGAGCTATGACCGTAAATTGTAAATCTGTGACCAGAATGGTCACCGGAATAATCGTCGGAATAATTTTCGGAATCAAAGCAATCGCCGGAACGGTCGTCGGAATAGTCGCCGAAAAGAGTGGTGGTCGAAATGATCGCCGGAATAGTTCCCGCAGCGATATGGGTGATGCATGTGGGATGGGTTAATTATATTATATATTTAATAATAAAATGACTTAATAATTTATTATTTCATAAATAAAAATTAAAAAAACCTGATTTTTGAATTTTCAAACGATAAACATGATTTTTGAATTGGTGTAAAATATACACCTTATTTATGAAATTTTTCCCAATAGTAAATCTCAAAAAAAAATCTCTCATTTACTCTGAAAATCTCATAGCCAAAAAATAAAATAAAAAAACGAATTTTTTCTTTAAATTCTAGAATTTTCTCATATCTCATCAATTTATTTGCTGTAATCAATCTATAATTATTCTGTATGTACATAATTACTTTTGAATTGAAATTATATGCAATTGTTTCAAAACATAGAATTTCATGCAATCGGTCTATGCATTTTTTATTTATTTATTTTTATTTTTTGTTTAGAACCATTTGTATTCTTAGAATTTATGTAAATTTTGTGAAATTTTTTTGGTTATATTCTTATAAATAGATGTAAAAGTTTTTTATTATTTTATTTGTACCAAAATTAAATGATTGGACCGTGAGTCACTTTACCCAAGAAAATTTTGTGAGCATCATGGGTCTCGAAAATATTAATACAGTAGAAAGAAATATTGTGATTTTTCAAGTATATAATGAATTTGTAAAATGAATAGTTTTTGAAAGTCTTAAAAAATTTTAATCAAATTCTATAGAAGTCCATGGAATGCTTTCATTAATTCTTAACAAATCCATAGAAGTCACATGGTTAAAAGTCTATAAAACTCACAAAAGTCACCCCATTGAAAAGTCTATAGAAGTTTTTAAAAGTTTCAATTGAATACATCCCACTAAAATTCCATCGGAAGACGAATTTTTTCATATCATCAAAAATTGTCCACAAAACCTATTAGTACATATTTGGAAAGTACTAATGTCAATCAATGCACTAAATGCTAAAATCTCTCTACCGGTGGGCAAATAAACTAGTAACGACCCATGAAAATCGACTCGAACCGTATAATATTATAAAAATTGAAATCTAACAAAACAGGCAATTGGAATCCAGTTACTCAGCTCTCTCTAACCCTAAACTACTATTTGTCTCATCTTTGGCCACCTCTACTTCAATCGCCCAACTCGTTGTCGTCGATCGTCAATTGACAGTTCCTTGTCATGTTTGGCCTAATTCTTGCCTGAGTTGCACCTTTATCTCTTCCATTCTCGATCAGATTCTCACTCAATTCTTTATTGTTCTTTCTTTTCTTTTTTTATTATCTTTACATTATTTATTCCATTGTTCATATTCATTATTTGTATATTATTTATGAAATTTTCTTTGTGTTGTTATTGTAATGAAGATGAGCAACCCACAGTGGGAAAAGAGATCAGCAATCCAGCACCTGCCAATTGAGGAAGGAAATGAATTATAAACAAATGATTCTAATCGAAATTCGAACTTGGGAACAATACCATTTCACCATGGACTTCATTGTAATAAGTCTATTACATTTTTTTCAAGCCAAACATGCTTTTTATGGTATTTAGCAAGTGAAAAGGAAAGACCAGATCCAGTTGGAAATTGCCAGAAGTATTCTTATCTTCTTTCCTCTGAATTCTAAATTCTATTCCCCTCTTATCTTCTTCTTCTTGTTGTTTCATAGTTCAATTCATTTTCCATTTTATTAAATATATCACAGCTTGGGTCACTAATCCCCATCTGAAATTTGAGTCTTGTGAATTAAATTGATTTTAGTTGATTTGTTTTGGTTGAAACTGAGCTTCAACCATCACAAGTGGTATCGGAGCCATTAAAATTCTGGGCATGGATACTAAGGCCAAAGCAGTAGATAAACATCTTAAAAAGTTGGATAGGGACATGGAGGATCAGGGAGAGCCTTTAAAAATGTGGGAATTAAGGTAGAAATGAGCACTAAATATGAGTCCATAGTAGCAATGATGGCAAATTGGAGTTGGCAAAAAGGGGAAATCAAGGATGAGTAGAAAATGGGGTCATTTATGCAATCCTCAATTAGTGAAGGATTACTCACAACAAAAATGGGAGCAATACCTAGGAATAGTGCTGACAAAGAGGACACGAGGATGGGCGTTAAGTTGCCCAGAATCAATTTCCCCTATTTCAATGGCGAAGGCCCTAGGGAATGGCTAAGGAAGGCACAAAAGTACTTTCAAATACACTAGGTCCCTGATGAAGTTAAAATTAGCATTGCAGAAACGTACTTAAAAGGAAGGGCGGATGTTTGATTTTATGGATTCATCAACAGAAATCGTATGGGTGACTGGAGTTTGTTCACAACTAAGATCTGCAGGCGGTTTGTTGAATCTACAACAGAGGAAGTCATAGAAGTTTTCAACAAAATTAGACAAAATGGAAGTGTGGCTGAATACCAAGAACTGTTTGAAGATATGGAATCCCAAGTTATGCTTTCATTGCCTCACCTTCTGAAATTATATTATATTTCTATATTCACCAATGGATTGAAGGAAGAGATTAAATCTATGGTTAAATTGTGAGGCCAAACTCTGTAACCCAAGCATTTGAGATAGCCTTACTACAAGAAACCACCATTACGACCTTGAACAAAACCTCCAAATTCCAAGCTAAACCTACTTACCAACCCAAATGGTCCAACATACCTTAGAAACCTCTTGAAAATACTCCCAAGTACCAACCTAACACCACTCGTGAATCAAGCCAAAAAAACCCAAACCCCCTAGTGAAGTTAAAAACTATCAACTATACTGACATTTAGACTATGAGGAGTTTAGGATTATGCTTTAGATGCGATGAAAAGCATACACCAAGGCACATTTACAAGAATAAGATGTTTAACTTTATGCTAATAGATGAAGAAGAAGTGATGGAACAGGAAGGGGAAGGGAAATGGTATATTAGACATTAGTGAAGAAGAGCAAATTATGGAGATTTCCAATAATGTTTTTTCTGGGAGCGTCAAACCTAAAACTATTAGAATATCGAGGTAGGTAAAAAAGAAGAAAGTATCTATCCTTATCAATAGTGCCAACACCCATAGTTTCATTGATAAAAAAACTGATACATGAGCTAAAATGTAAGGTTGAAACCACCTAGCCTATGACAGTGACTGTAGCTAATAGGGATAAGCTGAGGAGCAAGGAATGGAGTTTCAGTTCCAGTTGAGAGTGCCAAGGTTGGGGAAGTGACATGATTTTAGGTGTGGATTGCTTAAGCTATTCAAACAAAGTAGCATCAGGTTATGTTATGAAGGAATATAAGTAGAGTTGAAAAGTGAGATGGAAAAGGAAGATATCCTATTAATATAAAGGGAACAAATGAGTCAGTGGATTCATAAACAACCTTATGGGATTG